TTGAGGTTTTGAATATTGAAATGACTTTGTCAGTTTTTGACAGTGATTGAATCCAAAATAAGATGTAGAACTCAACCACTGTTTTGAATGAATTGCTTTTTCAACTCATCCTTTGAGTAATTCTTCTTTAGGGCGTGGGATGAGAAAGTTTCTTCTAAGCAGTCAGTAATAACATTACTGCATGCTAGTAACATGTTTTCAGTGGGTTTTGCCTTTGTTCTATTTCTAAGCTCTTGGACAGTTGGAATCTGTAAATGGGTTATCAACACAATGTATTCAGTGAGTGTTTATTTGGAGTGAAGAAAATTAGGTGTCATATTATCTACTTTGTCCATTGAGTACTCTTTATAAACTGCTCCTCCGTTGAAGGACTCTTCCTTTTAGAGGTGATATTGTGTGTCAGTCATGCATGGTGTAAGAAGCTATGAGCTGTTTTGGAACCACATCTATTCATTCATTAGTGAGGTGGTGACTACTAAAATAGAACATAATGAAATTGAGAAGACTTGTTTTTCAGTGGTGTAGTGAAAGCATGCACATATTCTTCACTTTTTGTTTTGAAATAATACTTTGCAACTCTATGGCAGTTTTTATTCTTCATGATGGTTTTGCACATCTTGTATAACATTTCCTCATAAGAAATTGGGACATATCTTACTAGGATTAAGATTCTAAACATTAGATGATGAAGTAATTTGAGGAAGGTCACACTACTGTAATCTAAACCCATCACTCCATTCAAGGCCTAGGTCAAAATTATATTTCCTCAGTGAATCTGCTCTTCACTTTCCTTATCCTAAGATAATTTTACCAATTAAAGACAACTTCAGGAATCAGAAAAGATTGAGGGAGCAAGCACAATGACCAAGTGGGTAAGGGAACTCCAGGCAAAGGAATAAGAGCAAGCTTATTCCAGGTCCAGCAGGTGGAGTAAAAACTCGAGGAGGACTGGATCTCTAGCTCTGCAAAAACCCTGTTCTCTAACTTGGAACTGAGAGTGCTGCTCATCTGTTGTTCTTGGGGGATTAACTTCTGCTCATCCATTTAATCCATGTTACCTTTTCCTTTGCTTACATTGATAGCTTAATTAAGGCTTGGATCTCCTGTGAATGCTTTTGTTTTCTTTGCACACAGAAAGGCTATTTTACAACCCAGACTCTTAATCACACGGAGGAAGCACTGTTGCTGAGAATGTTCAAAATAGAGAACTCCAGTATTAGAGTGTAGGTGTTTTCAAGCCAGCGGAGGTTTAGAAGGAGCTGCTCAGCAGGGATGGAAAGTAGGAAGATTTCCTGAGTCATATCTTTTTAAAAAAAATTATATTTTTACTGACTTCAGAAAGGAAGGGAGAGAAACACAGAAACATCAATGATGAGAGAGAATCATTGATTGGTTGCCTTCTGCACACCCTACACTGGGGATCGAGCCTGCAACCCAGGCATATACCCTGACCGGGAATTGAACCGTTACTTCCTGGTTCACTGGTCAATGCTGAACCACTAAGCTACGCTGGCTAGGCTTGAGTCATATTTTTATGGTTTAACATCATTGTGTTTCAAATGAATTATTATAACAGCAGATGCATTTACTAAAATCCAACTGTAAAAAAACACTTTTCAGGGAAATAGGAGTGGTTTTCAGATTATTTATATTTTGGCTTCTATCACTATAACATTCAGCTGACTTTAGTAGTCATAGAACAATGAAACCACTGTGAACAATTATTCACAGAATTCTTCTAATCAAAAAGTTATTTTCTCTTATGAGTGCTCAGAAGGTTGTCTCTTTATCTGAAATCTGAGCAATGAGGCAATTCAAATGATCATTTTTATTCTATGTGCTCATAGGAGAAAAGTATTTCTAATAGAGAGAGATAACAATTAAAGACGACTTAAAATAAAACTTCAATGGACATAAGGTAAATTTAAATCAAGATCTTATTAAATGTCTTATACCTCTATAAGCCATATAACTGCTAATGATTGTTTAATCCAATAGTGATCACCGGAAGTAAAATGACTTGAGTAGAGAAAAATTAAATTATGGTTAGTACAGCTTTAGTGTTATGTAAATTTCTTATTGCTTTTAGTGTTATGTAATTTTCTTATGGCTTTAGAATTAGTGAAAATATCTATATAATCATGTAATGAAAGAAACTAAAAAAATCCATCTGCTTTTTCTTTTTTAAGCAATTCTTTCATACTTTTACTTAACAAAGATGACTCCCATATTTTCAAACCACTTCCATACACACACACACACACACATATATAAATTCTGGCTTAGTATAAAGACATAGAAAAGCTGAATTTCTAGAGTATAATTTGTCCAGAGGATTTATATTATAATACCGTAGCCATTTCACTGAAAATTAATTATGGTTGAAAAGAGAAATAGTAAGATTTTTTCCTTTTGCAATGTTGAAGTCTGATCATCTCTGACTCAGTCTAGAATTAGAAAATTTTCTGTAGAAAAATGGATATTAGAGCCTTGTCTGTGATTTATGTGGCATTTGACTTATGTTTTTCAAGCTGTAGTCATTCACAATTTAAGCACTTCTCACCACCAAGCAATCCAGGAAGTATAGCATCTTTTAATTTGAGACCTCTGAGTTGGCCGTACATAGAGGAGAGTTTTGTGGTAGCCATGTGCTACAGGCATCTTAGCATGTGGTACAACAGGAATGAACCCTTCCACTTCATTGACAACATGTGTTACATATTATTCTGTTTCTGGCCTCTAGGTTTTAATGTCTTGGTGACAGGATCTATATTGGGGGAAGGATTGTCTGGGCTAATTTTCTGGGTAGTAATTATTTGGATTAAATTGTTATTTTCCATGCAAATCTAAATAAGATGCAGGCACTATGGGTGCCAAGGATTTCTGTGTGAAGCAGGGGTAAGAATAACAAAGGAGCCTGTTTTGTGTTAGTGGTGAGAAAGCATCTCTTGGAGGTGAACACATATACATACTCGAATCAGGTTTCAGATAAATGTGTTGGTTGAACATGGATGACCCCAAACCATTGCCAGCAACCAGATGTGCATCCCTGCAAATCCATGTAGCAAACAGCAGGGGTGGGGGTGGTATTTGGAAATACAGTACTCAATTTCTATGGTGGTTTGAGAACCACAGACAAGGAAGTATTCTGCCTTGAGGTTTTACTGATAAAATAGGGCTGTCTGAAATTCTTTGTCTCAACCTTATCCAAACTTGGAAATTGCCTTTCATATTTTTTTGTTTCCCTGTCTCTCCTCCCCCTACCCGCTTCCCAAGTCTCCCTCTCCCCTCCTTTTTTTTGCTTATGCAAGTAGCAGTGTCATAAAAGGTCCTAGACTCTCAGAATGAGACACCATGTTAATTTCTTCCTGGAAGATGCCACCCTAGAAAAAAAATGTTAACTTCTTTCCTCCTCAAAAATATGCTATTTGAGCACTACCCTCTTTTATGTATACTAATTCAAGTTCTGGATAAGATAATAAAGTTTAAAGGCATTCCACCTTTCCTAGTGTATATATATAAAAGTCTAAGCAACCATTACCACCATATATTTAGACAACCGGACAACCAACTGGTAGCTATGATGTGCACTGACCACCAGGGGGCAGATACTCAACACAGGAGCTGCCCCTTGGTAGTCAGTGCACTCCCACAGCCAACCTCCCATGGCCAGCCAACCTCCTCGGTCCTTCCCTACAGCCGCTGCACTCTATCAGCCCGATTGGGACTGGGTGAGATGGCCTCAATCAGCCAGGAAGATACAAATTCATGCACTGGTGTGTAAATAATACTGGTTACCAATAGCTCAATGGTAATTGTTGTCTGTCTGCATGGGACCATCAAGATTCTTACGAGACATCTTTTGAATATTTTCCTTTGTTTTATTTGTTTGTCTTTCAATCCTGTAGATGTTCCCACAGTTTTTCATTCTTGACCTAGAGCTGAGAGTGTTACCTCATTCCATCATATTTCCATTGTCCTTTCTCTTGGTTTGCACCCTGAAATGCTCAGGGAAAGAAAAATTCTTGGCCAGATTCTTAGACCTTTGCTTGAGGCCAAGCTCCATGAACACTCACGAAGCAAAGACCACTGTTGTGAAGGGAAAGTACACAGTTGTTCCTTTGAATCCTGGCTGCTTGTTGTGGGAATTGAGAATACGGAACAACAGTCAGCCTGAAGAATGTCAATTGTAGCTGGGTCAGGAAGATCCTTCCGTACAGCAACTCCCGTGCGTGTAAGGGATGAGTCCATGTGCAATTCTATTGGAGCAACCCGATGTGCTTCAATGAGTGAGAAGCCACACTTGGAAGAAGAGGCAGATGATTATTTCAGTGATCTCCTCACTGAAATAATCATGCTTGTCACTGATTTGTTTCCCTAATTGCCTTTAACACAACTGCCTTTGTGGATTTTGAATAATGATTTTCTGTTCAAATAGGATGAAGGAAAGGGAACTATATTGGCTTCACATCCTTCCTCGTCAGATAAGGCTTTTTCCTAAAATAAAGTTGGAACCATCTTCCCCATAAACTCTTTTAGAAGCCATATGAAAGAAAAAGAAAGTCCTTGGTTTGAGGGTAGGATTAGGACACTAGTCATTATTTAAATGTTTTGTGTCTCTTTATTGAGGAGATTAACACACTTTCTTTTATGGTTCTGTAAAAGTTAGAGCCTATTGTGTGATTGTTGGTAGGACTTAACATGTTACAGAAGGACCTGATTTGGATGTCCTTAGAATTGATAACAACTTACTCTTGGTGCATCATTTGAAAGCATTTTCTGAGAAAATTAAATTTCCATTTCTAAAACCTGTCATTTTTAAATGTGTCTGCAATGCCTTAGCTTTATCTGCAAGGAAGGAGCCACAGCATTGCCAATGCTGCCTTTTCCTGTGCTTTATACTCTTCCTGTCCTGTGGTCAGTCTGGTTGTGACCAGTCCGATTTTACAGTTGTTTCGCTGGGTGTTGAGTGTGTTGACGTAATGTCTTTTCCCATGCAGGAAACAATGTCATGAGAACCATCCATGGGGTGGGAGAGATGATGACCCAGATGGTGCTCAGTAGAGGCTCAATCTTCCCCATGAATGTGCCTGATGTTCAGCCGAGTATCCACCCCAACAAGCAAGGGAGTGCTGCCGAACAGGAAGACGTGACCGTGATGGACACTAAGTTGAAGATTATTGAGATTTTGCAGGTATGTGTATAATGAAAGCAAGGTGACAAATACTAACTGTACCAATTAGTTTAATTTCTTATACTTTTTGCTTCAAATCACTGTGAAATACTCTGAAATGCTATGAATTAATTTTATTTTAGGATAATAAGCCTGGTAAAAAATCTCACATTGACACTACTTAATGTATTAATTACATATTTTCACATTCATGAAATATTTTAATGGTGATATCTAGCAATATGGAGTATTTTGAGTGGGATAAGCCCTCTTTCCCACGTATTTTATTGTTTAGTATTAACCCTAATTTACTTTTACCTTCATTTAAGATGGATTTCAGAGCTGGAAAAATTAATGATTGAATTCAGCCCTTTTTCTATTTTTTAATTGAGTTTGGCATATGATTTCACGTATCCAGATTTATCATTGCATGAAGAAACTCAAATAAAATTTAATTTGTTATTAACAAAAATGTTGATAATTGGTTTTAATTGATTTTAGTACTTTATATGAATGATTACCTCTTTTTGTATTTTTGTTTCTAAGATGCCAGAAATAACATGGGTATAATATATATAAAAGCATATATATATAATATATATTTTTATATATAAATAAATATATAAAAATATATAAATTAGCCTAGCTCTATGAATTTTAAGGAGAAAAATTATCATTCCATTGGTTTAGTGAGTAATTTTCCTATTATTATAGCTGTGAATGCTTAACATATATTTTTTAAAATTTGAAAAGTAATTTTATGAAACTTCAATTATATGTCTATAGCAGGTTTGGAGAATGAAGCCTGGAGTTTTCAAGGGAGCATTAAGATTCTGGATACAGTTTACTGTCTTCCATCATAATTTAAAGTAGACTGAGCTACCAGAAGTGGGTTAGTAGTCCAGGAAGGGTCTATACATTTTTATTTAAAGTAATTAGATTTATAATCAATCACAAAAGGTTTTACAGTTCCTCCAGGAACTCAAAGGGCTGAATCTGAGAAATATTGGCAGGCCTCCCAACACTGTGTTTGTCAGTCTGCCCTGGGGTGACTCAGTTGTTCAGGCATCGTCCTGGATACCGAAGGTTGTCGGTTCTATTCCCAGCCAGGGCACATGCCCAGGTAGTGGCACCATCCCCAGTAGGGGGTATATAGGAAGCCACTGATAAGTGTTTCTATCTCCCTCTCTTTTTCTCTCTCACTAAAAATAAATGAGCTATTTTTAAAAAATTGCTTAGTCTTCCTGTTCTGAAACTGAGGAAGGTTGTAATCCCTCAACCTGTGGACCAAATGAGCCCACAACCCCTAGTTCTTATTGACCCTCTGGTCTCTGTTTTGTGTGTGTCTGTGTCTGTGTTCCTGAGTGCTGTTCTTGAATATGTTTCTTTCTTAGAACATCCTCTTAAAGAATGTCTTTAGGGCCATGCTCCTTATGTAGGTCCCCTGCTTTCCCTCCTCACTCAGGGACGTCTTTTCTTTTCCCTATCACTTTACATATCTCTTCTTTTTGGTTTAATTTCTCTCTTATTTTCTCTCTCTTTATTTATATATATAAAAGGCTAATATGCAAAGTGTCCCCGTGGGAGTTTGTTGGGAGACCAGTAGTTCTATTGCTTGCTATGATGTCCACTGATCACCAGGGGGTGTCATGGAATGAAGGAAGGCCCTTGCTGGTAGCCAGCAGCCGGTAGCTGGCAGCTGGGGAAGGGAGGCCCCAGACAGCAATCAAAGGAAGGCCCCAGTCAACTGCTGGAAGGTCCCTATTGGCCCTGATTGCTGGCCAGGCCTAAAGACCCTACCAGTGAATGAATTTTATGCACTGGGCCTCTAGTGTGTGTGTGTGTGTGTGTGTGTGTGTGTGTGTGTATATATATATATATATATATATATATATATATATATATATATATAATATCTCAACAACCTTTTTCTGTCTTTGTTTTCATTCTTCCCTTTCCATCTTTCCATCTTCCAATTGGTTGTTTATAAATAATATCGATTGGGGGCAAAAGTAGGTTTATAGTTGTGAGTATGTGAAACACAGTCTATTCTTGAATTACTTATTCATTATTTTTTTTATACAAATAGCTATAAATCTACCTTTCCCCATCCCTGTATGTTAGAGGAAGACAATTTTTCTTTACATTGGTTATATTTATAAAATATAATTCTATGAAATTTAGTAACTTCAACTAAAAGTTAATGTTTCATTAATTTTTATTTTATGAATTTGTTCTTTGCATAGGTTTAAAATAAAAATGCTATTTTAAGCACTTGCAATCTCGCTTCTGCTTCCACTATTCTGCTGAAAGCTGCCAATTCCACTGACCCTTTCTCAGGCCTCGTTTCCCACGTTCCGTCTCCTGCTTTGAAAATCCTGTCAGGTAGAATCGGTTCAGACAACCTGTGCTGCAGCGCTCACCATGTGCTAATAAAAGAGTCTCTTTGGTGTTTGCTTTCCCCTCTAGAAGACATGCTCTTCAAAGGCAGGTCTTCTCTCCTTGGAACCCTGTCTATACCCTTGGGACTTCCCTCGGCACCTAGTTTAATAAATGTTGAACTTAACAGGACATAGCTGACATGTGTGCTGCCCGTAAGGAGCATAAAGGTCTAGGGGAGAGGGACTAGGAAGAGGGAGAGGGAGAGAACGAGGGAGAAGAAAAAAGTAGAAGAGGGAAAAGGAGAGCCGATTTGGGGAGGGAGGGTAGATAAGAGGGAGAGAGAGAGAGATTGAGCTTCGACTTTGGACCTATAGGTTTAAATAAAGTGCTGGGTGAGCAAAAAGGTACAGGGATTTAAACTGGGCCTTGGAGGGGATCTCAGAAGCAGGTTATTGCTGAAGGAGGAGACTATTCAAGGTGTAAAGTGGACACAGAACAAATGTGGGAAGGCGAGAGAGGAACTGCAGGCAACCTCTGCTGTTGGATCAGAGAAGCTGGAGAGAGAGAAGGAGAGAATGAGCAGGAGGAAGGGGGGAGGAGTGCGGTGCAAAAGTGTCAGTGTGAAATAAGGAGAGATGGTAGCACAAAATACCAAGTTTTCTAAAATTGCTTGGCCACTGTTTCCTGTCCACATGAGACTCATAAGCATGTAGGGGACATGATGGTAATTTCCCTGGGACACAGGTTACTTCAGGGCCTAGGGCAGGCACACCAGCATGGAAAGTAACCGTGTAGGACCACTTCTTTATTGTTCCTTTCCCAACTCAGAAACCCATAGAACATATTTTTCCTTCTCGGATCTCCACTGGGTTTTACACGGCACGATTTAGCCCCCGATAGTTTCCTGATTATGTATATTTCCCCAACTCGCTCATTGGCTCCTGGAGGTCTGTGGGCCAAGTGTTTGCATTCTTCATAGTGCTGAGCACAGACAGGAACCTGATGGGTCAGTCAGGAGAGCAAGGACAACAACACACACCCAAGGAAAACAAGCACCAGGGAGGCACAGCCATGGTGTACGAGGATGCGCTGACCTCAGCTGCCCTGTAGAGCATAGGCCCAGGACCGATGGGGGGACAGCCAGTATCCACACTACGATAGCTGACACCTTGGCCTTTCTGTGCGAGAATGAGGGTCTCAGCGCCAGCATTCTCCTCCCAGAGCCAATGGACACTCGGTGAAGTGCTCAGTGCAATGATGTTGCCATTTCATCTAGACCCATAGGGTACCTCTACCTGAGATATTCAGACAGTACTCATGGGAAGGTTAAGTTTTCTTCTTTAAAAAAAAAATGCTTTGGGATTTTACTGACATGGATTAAGGAAAACACATCACTCTTCTTAGTCTTATGGCTGATGAGTGGTAAGCAACTGAAGTGTTAGGCGTTTACCAACACACTTCTAACTAGTTCACGTGATATGTTGATAATTATGTTCTTGGTGTTGTGCAATGAAATGTATTTTTTAACCATTGTGCTAATAAAGGGAAGTTATGTTGTTTTGAATGTTTCTTGTAGTTTATCCTGAGTGTCCGACTGGATTACAGGATCTCCTACATGCTCTCGATATATAAGAAGGAGTTCGGAGAGAGCAGTGAGGACGCTGAAACCTCTGCCAATGGCTCTCCAGATACATTGATCCCAGCAGGTACCTCCTTTGTGACAGCTTTAACTCTTTGTATTTTCTTTCCCTCAGTACTGGAAAACACATTTCATATTTTAAAAAACACAGTAGTACTAGTATTTCTAAGAGACAAAATGTGGAAATCATCCCCACTAATGACACACAGGGGAAGGGACTGAATGAGGCAGGACATTAAATAACTTGCCTCAAATGGCAGGGAGGACATTTACTGTTACTTGGTGCTTGAGTGGTTTCTTTTTGAATCTTTAGAGCACTGTAAGGCGGAGGGACTGTTTATTGTTCCCTTTTACAGATAAGAAACCAAGACCGGAGGGGTTAAGTTACTTGCTGAAGGTCATGAAAGTCGTGGAGCAGGGATTCTCTCTGAAGTTCCCCCAACTTCACAGTCTGAGTCTTTTAAGCACGAAGCTATTTTGGTGAAAATCCAAGGGGAATTTTTTTTTTTGGGGAGGGGGTGCCCTGGATCAAAGAACAATGTGAAATATAGCCACGGAGGAAAGCTGTTTTGTAGGAAGCCACTGCGCAGCTTTTGAATTAGGAGATGGCATTTCCCAGTGTGAGTGTGTGACTGTGGGTGTTGGTTTGTATGTGTGTTGTTTTTCACTTCTCATGTTTACTAACTATTAATGAATTTCATTTTTCCACATTTATAAGAATAAAGCCACCCTATCTCTGAGTGGAGGACCATAATGACGACAGAGCATAAAAATAATTGTAAACGTTTTCTGACTATAGAAAGTATTTGATGAAGCCTAAGAAATATTAAATTGCCATTTTTCTGGATAGTGAACTGTGTATTAATGAATCAGTCAGTTAGCAGAATTCTTTTTCTGGGGATAAGGTTCGTATGCAGATATGAAAGGTTCTAAACCCAGTGGTCGGCAAACTCATTAGTCAACAGAGCCAAATATCAACAGTACGATTGAAATTTCTTTTGAGAGCCAATGTTTTAAAACTTAAACTAATACCACTTCTTCAAAATAGACTCTCCCAGGCCGTGGTATTTTGTGGAAGAGCCACATTCAAGGGACCAAAGAGCCACATGTGGCTTGTGAGCCACAGTTTGCCGACCACGGTTCTAACCACACCACTGTGACAACTTCAGGAACCCTCCTCTTTATAGGTCAATCAATCTGACAGGAATGATTCAGTGATTTCCAGAGTTTAGTTAAAATGGATGCTAGACCAAATGTTCCCCTGTCTGGCTCTGTCCCACCCAAAAGGCGGCGTGCCTCTGCAGACGGGGAAGCTTGCCTAAGCGAGCAGTCACTCCTGGCACGTTTGCAGCAGTGTTGTTTTTATGCTTCCCAGAAGTGCAGAACCCCAAAGGGCTGTTTCCAGGAATGATGTGGCAGGACGAGAAAGTCTTGCTGGCGGTTGCATTGACAGTAGCATAAAAATTACTGGCTCTCAGAAGCCAGACTTCTGGAAGCAGGAGCGCTAAGTGTCAGCGGAGTGTGGGAGGGAAAGTCAGGGGGGCACGGCCTGAAAGCCAGTTGTCTCATTTACCTGATTTCTTCTCGCATGGGTTGTATTTGCAAGCGAGAGCTTTCTGCGGGAGAATTCCTTTTCCCTGTTTATATCTTGCTCTGTTTTCTTCTTATGCTTTGGAGATGAGAAATAAAGTGTGTATTTGTCATTTAAACATGTTATCTTAATCAAGATATCTTCAAACTGTTAGTGATGAGGATGGGTGAGGAATCATGATTGGCTCATATAAAAAGTTAAGCACCATGTCCTTTGAGAAGGGATAGGATTTGAGAAGTAAGCTTAGGTTGTAAGTCACAAGGTTCATTATAGGTATATTTTGATTCTTTCAAAAACGTTATCCTAGCCAGTGGCCATGGACAATAGGAGGGTAGGGGCATATGTAGGGAGGGATTTGGAATGGGAATGGGAGGATGAGGGCAATAATGTGATACCATAATCAATAAAAAAAAGGGGAAAAAAACTTTATCCTTTCATGCCATCACCCATTTAAATGTTTATGTGTGTGTGTGTGCATGTGCATGTGTGTGTGTGTGTGTGTGTGTGTGTGTGTATGTGTAGTTGATGCACCTATACATACACCTGTATGGGTGAGGCAACTTTGTAAATGCCTTTCTGATCTTTTAAATATATCTTTGAGTATAGCAATATATATTAAAAATGTAAAATTCACTTTAAAATATTGATGTCTAAGGTGGAAGTGTATTATAACTTTTAAAACCTTTAATTGATTCTAGTGTATAAAGAAATTGAGACAGAATATTTTTAGCTATATCACTATACATATTGTGACTTAATTACACTACGATAAAGAATAGGTTTTTCCATTTATCTTTGCAGCTATTGTTCCTGATATAGACGAAATTGCAGCTCAGGCAGAAACTATGTTTGCTGGAAGGTACAGTAACATTTATGTATCTTTATCTTATGAATAAAAATTTACTTAGAATTTTATTGATATTTTGTTATTGTTCACCTCCTATATCTATTTAATTTTAGATTATAATTTTTGCCCCCAGAAATGAATCTGATAATTTACTGTAGAAGAGAAAGCATAGCTTTTCTTTAGGGCAGGTTAAAAAAAGGACAAGAGAACTGAAATCGGTGTATTTTCCTGAGTTCCTTTATCCTGAATTCTTTTCTTTTCTTTCCTCAAATAATGACAGCATACCAATGACCTTTGACTCCCCTGGTAAAAATATTGCTGCATCTTACAAAACATTGCTTCCATACAGCTGAGAAATTTGAGGCAAAAGAGTCACTTCTTTCAGTGTCATCATTAACTTCATCTATGAGAAATACAGATATCCTCTGCCAATTGGGAATATCCAGGATCAAAGAAGATAAGATGCCTCTGGCATGACCGCCCAGCCGCCCTGCTCTTTGTTGTTTGTAACTTGTTTCCCTCTTTGTCGGAAATGAAACTAATTGCAGTCAAAAAGAAAGTAACATGCCTCAACTACAAATTATTGAGCTCTCAGCATTCATTTTTATTACAGATTTGCCACGAGAGCCTAAACAAGTTCATATACTAAGCCTTTTGTCGCCTTTTCTTTGGTTATAAAGACAGACAAGACTGAAAGATCAAGGGAACCAAAAACGATTTTTCTCTGTAGCAAACATTTGGTTTGGCTTTGTTTTTATGTTGTTTTGCCCATTTTTGTTGTTATCATGTGTGTTTTCCTATTCAAATATTTTATTATTTTTGAGAAGGGAGGGTAAACCAGTGTCCGATTTTCACCATAAAATAAATGGACCTTTTATCCAGAGGAATCTTGCTCAGAGTCCAAACAGGAAACACACAGAGCTGTTGTGGGGATGGTGGGAGGAGTGTGTGCATGCGCATTGCACCTCCTCAACCCGGCCCCACCAGACACAGAGTTCTGTAGGCTCTAAGGGAAGTCAACTCTTGGTGCACATCCAACCTATTATGTCTTCTCAGCAGACGCTTTGGGTTGATTCAGTTCCCTATCTTTTTTCATTGCCTCATTGCCTAACCCATTCCCGTGTGCCTGGAAAACAGTGCAAATGCTGGAAACCCCTGTGCCCTGGACACTAGAGGACAGTTGGTCTTCCTGCTTTCATGGACAGACACAAGCTGTTCTGTTTCCTTCTCAGTTACACGAGAGAAGAAAAAGAGTAAAAATATCATCCTTTTTCCTTTCCAAAATTTTTTTTGGGGGGTGGGAAGAGGAGAGTGTATGTATACACAGAATGTATACACAGTTTTAACTACCCATGGGTGGGTTTGATATCAACACAACTGATTTTAGAATTATTTTTGGCTTTCTAGAAAGGAAAAAAATCCAGTTCAACTTGATGACGAAGGCGGCAGGACCTTTTTGCGGGTCCTCATTCATCTGATCATGCATGACTACCCTCCTCTGCTGTCAGGAGCTCTGCAGCTTCTGTTCAAGCACTTCAGCCAGAGAGCGGAGGTTCTACAGGCATTTAAACAGGTGAGAAGGCGCCCTGGGTGGCTCCAAGCGGGAGTTCCCCAAGCGCTGCTTAGGACACCCAACCTGGCTCCCACTGCAGACTTAAGGAGACTGTGCCACGTTCTGTTTTAAAGATAGATATGGCCTTGACATAAGCCATGACATGATGTATCATATAAAGAGTGCCCACAGGTGATTTTAAGTTAATATCTTTAATGTAAATGACAGGCTCTATGATTTAGGAAGGTTACTAGGGGATAATGCTGAGATTAGGAATTTTGCTGTTGCTGCTATGTCGACCTCAGATTTATTGATAAATTTGGGTAGGACAATCAGTAGCACTGAAATATAATGTTATGTGATTGAAAAATGTTTGCATCCAAAAGAAAGAAATTAGTATGGATCTAATCTTTTTCGTTGTCATTTTTGAATGACATTGAATCTGTGTGTGTGTGTGTAAGTGTGTGTGTGTGTGTGTGTGTGTGTGTGTGTGTGTGTGTTTTATTCCTGAAGGAAGATTTTTATTTTAATAGGTCACGAAAATTCTTTTTTTAAAAAAAATTTCTTTATTGATTAAGGTATTGTATATGTGTCCTTATCTCCACTTTAACTCCCCCCACCCCTGCACTCATGCCCTCACCTCCCTGTTGTCTGTGTCCATTGGTTAGGCTTATATGCATGCTTCAAGTCCTTTGGTTGATCTCTCTCCCTATATAGCTATTTTGAATTGTGCTTCTATGAACATAGGGGTTCATATATCCTTTCTGATTCATGTTTCTAGTTTCTTGGGATATATTCCTAGAAGTGGGATCACTGGGTCAAATGGGAGTTCCATTTTTAGTTTTTTGAGGAAACTCCATACTGTTCTCCACAGTGGTTGCACCAGTCTGCATTCCCACCAGCAGTGCACAAGGGTTCCTTTTTCTCTGCATCCTCTCCAGCACTTGTCATTTGTTGATTTGTCGATGATAGCCATTCTGACAGGTGTGAGATGGTACTGCATTGTTGTTTTGATTTGCATGTCTCGGATAATTAGTGACTTTGAACATGTTTTCATATGTCTCTTGACCTTCCTTGTGTCTTCTTGAGATTTAATGAATAATACCTGAGTGCTTGCATATGTTTCACTAATATTTATTTTATTTATTAGAGCATTGGTCTTCATTAGGAATCTTTACAAGAATATAAATTACTTTTTTATCTTTTCAAATAAAAAGGAGTAATTATTTATATAAATTGATATAATTATGCATATATTTGTATGCCATATGATACATATAAGTTATGATAAAATAAAAGTTGATATCATGAGGTTTAGACTGTATTGGTATGTTCTTCCACTTATTTTTATGTTTCTTCTTTTTTTAAAAACAGAGAGAGTCTTAGAAAAATTAACTTTCAAAGTGAAATTAAAGTTAGGGTATCTTTTATTTCAAATTACTCTTTAGCACTTAGAAGAGTTTTGTTAGGGTTCATTCCTTTTACATATGTAATTCTTTATAACATGTGAATATACTGGATAGAGTTTACGGATACTTTCAGGTGAATTTTCTAAGTCATCATACATCTAAATATCAATAAACATTCCAGTAATGTGAATCTTCAACTGATAGATAAATATATAAAAACTTGGAATTTTAGACCTAAATGAAATAGGAATACAGAAAGTCCTTAAGTAAATTAAGGCTTGAAATCCTTCTGTTTCAAGGTGCAATTGCTGGTGTCCAATCAAGATGTAGATAACTACAAGCAAATAAAGGCAGATCTCGACCAGCTTCGATTAACTGTAGAAAAATCCGAGTTATGGGTTGAGAAGAGCAGCAGCTACGAAAATGGAGAAATGGGTGAAAACCAAGTGAAAGGTGGTGAAGAGCCAAATGAGGTTTGTTTTTAGTATCTGTTTTGAAATAATTCAAATGATATCTTTTAAAACATAGGCCCCACAGTCAAAATTGTTTATAAAGAATTTTTTTTCCTGAGTAACAGAACATACAATTTTCATTTGCCAAGTCAATTAACTGCATTAACTCGCACTCTGGGTAATTCTTGTCAATTGCTTCTACCTCTTACCACATCTGCCTACTTTTCCAATGTAAATCGTGTAATCCAGGAAACAGGATGATAGGAGGGAGTGAGATGGAGGAAAAAGGAATGGGTCTTGAGCCTAGTCCTAAAAAAAAATGGTGAATTTTTGTTGTCATCGTTCACTGTGGCTATTTATTGCAACTTGTAAACTGTTCCTTTCATTATTGTGGCAATAGTATCTAAATGAAAGGACAATATATGCTCTATTATCAACATGAAAATACCAAGTCTATGTTTAATCTGAAGAGTAGTGAGATGATGATGGTTAGTCTCTGCTATATTAGTTTCAGTTTTCAATGGAGTAATTACTTGCTGTTTTCACATTTTACTAATTATGAAATAACCATTAAAAATTTAAAACAGTATTTAAATGATAATACTTTGATAAGTAAGCCAGTATCAATGTCATCGTTGAAGATAAATTTCTTAAAATGTCTGTATGGGCAGGTAGTTAGTCCCCACCAATTTATGTATTCCTACTACTAAGGTTAGAAATTTTTTTTGACTTCAGGTCATGGTGATGCTATAAGTTCAAACTTGAACACAACCTTTTCATCTATTATGTCTTTTTTGCATTAGTTAGTAAGATTATTCAGTACAATTTAAATAGATGTGATATTGGTCATTCTTGTCTTATTTCTGATTTTAAAGGCGATAATTTTAATATTCCACCACTGAACATGTTTATTTTACATTTTTTAGGATACTCTATCAATTGAGGAAGTGTCCTTCTATTCCTTCTATTTCTAGCTGGCTAGTTTTTTTTTTTCTTTTACCATGAATAATTATTGATTTTAATTAGATGTAGCTGATGCATCTATCAATATTATTTTTCTTTAATCTACTAATTTTAATAACATGAATCATAAATACAGCTTCTCTCATAGTAAGCTTGCATTCTAGAATAAAGGTATCATTGTTAATATTTTTTATGTTGCTAGATCTGGTTTGTTAATACTTTGTTTAGGATTTTACATCTATGTTGTCAGTTAGAATGGTCTATAATTTTTCTTTCTGGTACTGTTCCTGCCAGGTTTAGACTAGTTCCATTAAACAAATAAGGTGCAAAATATTACCCTTTTTTGTGTAAGATTAGAATGATCTATTCTGTGGATGTTTGGTAAAACTTGTCTATAAATATGCCTGAGTCTTGGATTTAGTTTAGGGGATGATTTTAATTACAGATTAAGTATTTTTAATGCTTACAAATTTATTTATATTTTCTATGTTGGGTCAGTGATATATTTTTCTTAGTCACATGTTTTCAAATTTGCTATTATTTGTTCAGAGTCTTTCATTATCTTCTCCTGTATCTAGCTTCCTACCCTTTTTTCATTATTTATGTTATTTATTTTATCTCCTATGCCTTAATTTTACCACAGTTATCTATTTTATTTATCTTCTTTAAAAAAACCAGTTCTTGGCTTTGTTAAGCTTCTGGTTTTGGTTGCTATTTTATTATATTTATTCTATTCTCTAACCTTTTATGTTGGCATGTTTTTCAGGCTTTAAAACAATTTAATGGTATATTTTTCTTTTAAAAAGTTGCCTTCCACAAATTTTGACAAATGGTATTTTTATTGTTCAGTATTAGATATTTAAACATTTCCATTATGATTTCTTCTTTTGCCCAGAATCATTTGGAGGTGAATTTTAAAATTTCCAAATGTGTAGGTAAATTTTTTTGTTTTGTTACTGAATTCTTAATTAATGGTGGCAAGAAAAAATCTGGTTATGATGATATCAGTTCTCCAAAATATTTTGAGACTTAGTTTGGCCCATTATGCCATCAGGTTTTGTAAATATTCTATGTGGCTTGAGAAGAGTGGGAATGAGTACAGGATTCCTTAGATATTGTGCTTAAATCATCTGTCTACCTACTACTATTTTTGTTTTCTTGACTTATCAGTTATTGAGATTTACTGTTATTTTCTACTACAATGGTAGGTTTATAAAATTTCCCTTGTTTTATTGATTTTTACTTTATATGTATTAAAAGGCTATTTTATTAGATGCTATATATTTTATTAGATGCTATATATTTAACATGTTTCACTAGGAACAAAATATTTTTACCAGTTGAGAATTCTTTCTTTGACTTCTGGTTATGTTAATGCATGTTTTCTGGCTTTTTGTTGCTTGTGTTGAGAAGTTTGCTGTCTGTAAACTAGTGCCTTACTTTAATTATAAAACTCTAGTTAAATGTATGTTAAACCTTGTCATTGCCTCCAGACCAATTAGTTTCCCTTTTTTAAAAATGTATTTAATTGATTTTTTTACAGAGAAGAATGGAGAGGGATAGAGAGTTAGAAAAATCAATGAGAGAGAAACGTCATTCAGCTGCCTCCTGCACCCCCACCCCTTCCCCGGCACCAGGGATGTGCCCTCAACCAAGGTACATGCCCTTGACCGAAATTGAACCTGAGACCCTTCAGTTCGCAGGCCGATGCTCTATCCACTGAGTCAAACTAGTTAGGGCTATTAGTTTCCCTTTTATATTTCCCTTATATGGGACTTTGTGCTGAGTTTGAAAAATTTCTTTAGATTCATATGAATCTACTTAGATATGTCTTATTGGCCATTTACTCCACCTATTGAATTTTAAGTTTCAGCAATTATATTTTGAAATTATAATTGCTGAAACTTAAAATTAGATACTTGAAATTAGATTTTTTTCCCAAATATATTTGGTCATTTATGATCACTTTTATTGTTGCTTGCTAGTTTTGTGATTACATAAGGATCTTTTATAACCTGTATGTAATAATTCAATGATCTAAATTAAATTACTTGGGAGTTTTTTATGATTCTCACTTCATTATATTTTGGTCATCTTTGAAATGAGCTTATATATTTTTTAGACGAGATCGGGCGCGTTCAGGGTGGTATGGCCGTAGAAGAACTTATATATTTTTTAAAACAGACTTTATTTTCAGAACACTTTCAGATTTAGAAAAAAATTGTACAGAAAATACAGAACTTTCTCACATATTAATTCTTCTCCCCATTTCCTCTGTTATGAACATTTTACATTGGTGTGGTACATTTGTTACAATTGATGAGCCAGTGCTGGCACATTATTATGAAAGTCCATAGGTTACTTTAGATTCACTCTTTGTGTTGTACTGTTCATGGGTTGTAACAAACATGTCCTTTATCCACCATTACAATGTTAGACTGCCCTGAAAGTCTGCTCTGCTCTTCTTATTTGTCCTTCCTCATGAACCCCTGAACTCTTGGAAACCGCTGATATATTTTTTTTAAATTATATTTTTATTGATTTCAGAACGGAAAGGAGAGGGAGAGATAGAAACATCAATGATGAGAAAGAATAATTGATAAGCTGCCTCCTGCACCCTCCCCCTTCGCTGCCGCCCTTCCCCTCTCCCTGCTGGAGTCAAGCCTGCAACCCAGGCCTGTGCCCTTGACTGGAATCGAACCTGGGACCCTGCAGTCCACAGGCTGATGCTCCATCTATTGAGCCAAACCAGTCATGGCACCACTGATATTTTTAATTCCCTTGTAATTATGCCTTCTCCAGAGTGTCATATAGTTATAATCATACAGTATATAGCTTTTTGCAGATTGGCTTCTTTCATTTAGTAATAGACATTTGAAGTTCTTCCATGTCCTTTTAAAACAGGGATGGGGAACATATGGCCTGCGAAATCATTTGGTCTGGCCCTGCCAAGGCATTAGGGGTGAGTTAATTAAATGTTTGAATAAATATAGCGGCCTAATTTTTAAGTTGACAATTTTGTATTGCCCTGCAAATGATGTCAGTATCCAAATGGCCCTTGGCAGAAAAAGGGTTCCCCACCCCTGTTTTATAGCTGGCTAGTTCATTTTTCTTTAATCACTGAAAAAACTCCCTTGTCTGGATGTGCTACGGTTTGTTTATCCATTTACCGATTGCAGGGCATCTTTGTTTCTTCAATTTGAGGCCATTATGAGTAAAGCAGCTCTAAACATTTGAGTAGACATTGAGCTCCTATCTTTGACTTCAGACCTGGAGGTGGAAATCTGGCATGTTTCCTCCTTAAAGTCTCTGTGATGGCCTCTGGCTGTGGCCAGGGGCACTGCTAGCCTGAGACCAAGTCAGAAGGCAGTGATGTGGGTGAGTTCCTCAAATTTGACACTTGCTCAGAGTAAACTTACTCTCTGGGTTATAGAGCTAATAGTATTGGCATTTGCCTTCAGGGAAACTTACCATGTTCCCTTGCAGCTTGGACCTCTCTGATCTGGCTTCAGGTTACACTTTTTTTCCTTTTATAGGTGGAGAGTGGGCTCTTTTGGGGTCATCCTTTATTTTCTGTGAATCTAGAAATGTACTTAAAATAGGTTATATATCTAGGATCAAATTGTTTTTTAATAGAGGGCCATTTGCAGGTTTAAGTTCGCTATTCTTGCAGAAATCCTTGGGAATGTGTTTACTTAGATGTTTAGTAATTTAAAACTATTTATGATGAATCTAGATTCTTTAGAACTTTGTATATGGAATGCCTCTGAGGCTTATGCTTAATCCAAAGAAGATTTCCTTTGCCTCTGTGAGCACCTTTAAAATACATTTTGTAACCATATGAAACAAAGGTTTTGGCTTGGGAATTTTAGGACTCCTTAATTAGGGGGAATGCTAGTCCTAATCTTGAGATAAGCTGTTTATCTTTGTATGTAGGAGCTCAGGAGACTTATTCTCCCCCCACCCCCCCTATTTTTATGGCTTCTGCCAAGCCAAATGCAAGACAGGTACTCCTTTGCTCTTCTGTGGGCTGCATCTTTCCCTACTTTATCTCTGTG